TATATATATTTTAAATTAGTGCTTGAGTTCTGGGCAGGATGTTCAGGTAAGGCTAAAAACCCTGTTTGAAGATTTCTCTCCCTAGAAAATGAAACAACTAAAAAGAGAAGAACACCTCCGTAGCTACAAGATAGGATAAAAGAATTTACAGATTTTTATAGGTCAATAAAAAGTGTAATTTATAGTGAATGTGGACCCAGTCATTTTCCATCAGTTTCTAACACCAATATGATAAAAGATGCAGGTGAGCCTGGTGTGGGAGAGGCGTCTTTCAGGGAGGCCACACAGCCCAGAAGGGCGAGCAGACTACTGTTTTCCCCCAGCTTATCCTTGTTGCAGCCAAGGTCGCCTTGATGAAGGACAGCATTCTGGGAGGCTGAGGATTTAGCTCAGCGGCACAGCGGCTGCCTGGCAGGCGCAAGGTCGTGAGTTCGATTCCTGGGACCACAAAAACAAAACAAAACAAACCAAAAAAATGGACAGCATTCTGAAAAAGAAGCCTGAGAAATTAATAGATGAACCCAAGAAACACAAAATTCATCAAGTAGAAACGATACAGGAAGAATGCTAAGTTTTAAAGCCAGCTAAACATGTAGGTATAAGATTGCATAATTGTTACAAATTAGCTTTATCAAGAATGGTAAGAACATAATTATTAGTAGTAAATTATCTAAATTATTTTAATTGTCCTAGGACTGTGAGGCTGGCGAGAGGAGTGTGAATTCACACTACTCACTTCCTCCACTGCCCCAGCTGGTACAGCTGGCAAGAGGACTATGAGTTCAGCTCCTCACTTCCTCCATTGACTCGGACCGCACAGCTAGTGAGAGAAATCTGAGATCCACCCCTCCTTCCCTACACTGGACTCAGGGCCAGAGACCTGTAGGGACACCAGGAACACAGTACAACCTGAGTTAAGGTGCACACAGTGGATACACAGAACTAGAGGTGGGGAAATATCCCATGCAACATTAGTAATAGGAACCAACAGAACCTTTCTTTTTGTTTTTTTCT